AAAGCTTCTTGAGATATATTCCAGGCAGACAGAAGGTAAAAGAAAATTGGCCCATTATGAGGAGCTGATGTGGAGGGAGGGGGGGAAGGGGGCTGTTGGACGGTGACATGGGATGGAGTCATAGCTGATGAGTTTAAAAACTCTTGCTTCCTGGAAGGTAAGGTCGTAGAGCCAGCATGAAGGTGAGGCTTAAAAATAGGTCTGAGATGGGATCCCATTGGAGCCCCTGGGTGGTACAAATGGTTAAGTGATTGGCTACTAACTGATAGGTTGGCAGTATGAACCCACCCCGAGGCACCTCAGAAGACAGGTCTCATGATCTGTTTCAAAAAAGTGATAGCCAGGAAAACCCTGGAGAGTGCAATTTTACTCAGCAGCACACGGGGTCACTATGAGTCACAGTCGACTTGATAGGAACTGTTTGTTGTTTTTTTGGACTGGGATCCCATAAAAATGCACACTTGCCTCTGCTTAATCAATAGCTGGCTTCTCCTGGGTCAGCGTAGAGTGGGGCCTTAAGGAGCTAGGTTCTTCCAGCCTGGTGGCAGATGGGCACAAGCTGGGGAGCTGGGGAGAATCTGAGGGGAGAGGAGCTGGAGCTCCTAGCTGGCTTCAGGAACACTCTCAGCAAGCTTGTTCTCATTCTCTCTGGCCCAGGACGCTGCAACCCATCCTCCAATAAGCCTTTCTGGCTCCCCTGGCTTCCTCAAATTTGTCAGCAGGCCTTTCTGAAGCTCCCATTCGCATGGTGGCAGAGTGCTGGGTGATTAGTTAAGTGATGAGTAAACATTTGCTAAATGGGATTCTTGGCTCCCTGGTAATGAACAGCCCCAGCAGGAGATGGGGGAGATGCAGTTGAAGAGCGGGATGCTGGGATAGCTGATGGTCAGCCAGAAGGGCACATGGAGAGGTAGCAGATGAGGTCTCTTGGACAGGTGTCCTCTGAAGCAAGGAGAGGGCTGAGGGCAGAGCTTCACAGAATAGAAAGGGAGGTTATGTGGGCCTGAAGACAAAACAGTTCTGGAATACTCATTGAGTCTGGAAGCAGCAGGTGTCTGGGAATGGGATGCTGGCCCAGGCAGATTTCCAGGGAGCGCTCCAGTTCCTTGGCAAGAGGAAAGGATCTGGCTGTGCAGAAGAGGCAAGTTGTGATAATGAAACCTACTGTTGAGGAACACTGGCAAGGGTGCCATGATGGGCCCACGTGCCTGTGTGGGTCTGTGGCTGGAGGCATGGGTTTGAGAAGAGAACCCCAAGTGAAGGGAGCCCTACATTCCCACTACTTCAAGAATGAGTTCAAGTCCCTGAGTAGGAGCTCCCTCCCCCCTCAAAGCCCTTTCCTTACTAGGTTTGTCTCAAACACCACTCCCTCCCCAACCAACAGTTCCTCAAGGCCCATTGTTTGCAGAGCCTCAAACACAAAGCTATTTCATGCCTCCACCCCTCTGTCTGCAATATTCCCCACACTCTTCCCTGGCCAACTCCTCATCCTCTGAGACCCCTCTGAAGTGTCATCTCCCCCTGGAAACCCCCTCTGACTATACCACCCTCTCCTGAGCTGAGTTTCTCATTTCTCTTTTTTGGGTATGAACACATATCAGTTTCATTGACTTGTTTCCACATCTAGGCTACAAACTCCTTGCCAAAGAGTCGCATCTTCTCACTTGTATGTCCCCAGAGCTTGGCATTCTGGCTGGTACATGTAGGTGTTGATCAGCATTTGTTGAATGAGTGGTAGGGAGCTAGGTGAGTTCCAAGACCACAGGAGAGCCCACCCGTGGCCAGATGTCAGCCCCTTCTGCAAACTGGTTTTGTCCACCTGTTGGTCCCAAGTGGGACTGGATGGCAGGAAGGGAGCCCCTCCTGAGGGTCTAGGGAATGCGCTGAGCAAAGATAGCATCAAAGAGAGGGTAGCCTCAGCCTCTGGGAGAACAGGAATCCATGTACCCCTGCCCTGAACAACCCAGGATGAAAGCTGGGTCGGATGTGCTTGTCAACTTGTTCTGATGTTCTGAATGATGCTGTCATCATGCTGTGTAGCATGTGAGCCACTGAGTGACAAGTGACATCATCCACAAGAGAGCTGCCTTTACTCCCTCAACCTCGTGGAGGAGAGAGCTACTAAAAATATACCAGGCGTCCTGGGCCCCACCACCTTGCCTAATAGCAGCCGGCAGCCAGAGACTGTGCTGTGCTTGACAGAAGCGGATCATTTATAAAACATTAGCATTTCTTGTACTGACATTTCACTTCCATATTACAAGACTTACGAAGCCTTTTTTTTTTTTTTTAAATTTAATAAAGTGCTTATATTCTTGATTTTCCCACTGAGGGCTTTGCTGTCTAAAGTTGGAAATGAAATCAACAACATAACAACCTCCACAGGTTCTAAGGGACAACCAAGCCCCTGGCACTGGCCCGGGTAAGAGCAGGTAAGCAGGCAGTAACTGCAGACCAATGATTATTTGTTCTGCCATCAGCCAACTCCCTTTAGTGGAAGTTTCAAGCCCTGAAGCTAGGAGGATTTGTCCTCCTGAAAGCACAGTCCTCTTCCCTCTTTCTCCAAAGCCAGGAAGGCAGGAGGGGCCTCTAGATCCCCATTCACTGCAGCCTGGGCCTCTTGGAAACTTCCGGGGCCCCACCCCAACCCTCAGCCCCCTGGGAATCACTCACTCAGCAGCTGCTTCTAAGTTTCTGAATACAGGCCGAGAACATTGCAGAACCAGCACTCCAGGGAGAGGCTCAGGGACAGTGCCGCCCCAGCCCAGCCAAAGTGCAGGAATCACGTTCTGTGCAGGCAAGGGAAAGCCATGGAACAGGGAACAAGTGTGTGGGGTACACATACACACACACACACACACACACACACACGTGTGTGATCCTGTGAGTCAACGTGCCCCTGTCCCATACAACTCTTCCTGCCAACAAACGTGCTGTGTTCTCAAAGCTGTGCACAGCCAGGCCCGCCCACCCCTTGGAATACCCAGGATCTGCCACCCCCCTTCAGGAATGTGAGGTTAGGAAATGAAAAACAGTGTTTGTATCCAAGAGAATTTTTTTATTATTATTATTTTTCTCTCTTAATTGGATTCAGCTTTTCTTTCTCTTTACACAAATCCTCTCTAGTGGGAAACTAGGGTTTGTGCAAAGCTCGGAGGAGATGATGCCTGCTGGGGCACCTGACCAGCAGCAGGGATGATTTCGGACCAGAGCCCCTCTCTCTCCCCTGGCTGGATTTGCCTATTCCAATTCTTGTACCTCTCTGGACTACTGGCATCTCCAGAAGAGCTGAAGTGCCTGAAATGCCCTCATGGGTCCTTCTTCTGTCAAGGTCACCTGATACTTGCTTTCCTTTCTGTCACCCTACACAGGGTCCTCACTGGAATATCCATAAAAAAGCCTAAAGGAAAAGTTTAGCAGCTGAGCCATCTTGGAAACCTGGGCTCATACCAGAGTCTCCTAGAACTCTCTGGACCATCGCTGGTGAAATGCTATGCTGAGGACTGTCCAACCTGTTGGACTAACACTGTGGAATGCTGCCTCGCCTGCCGGCTTGAAAACACCCAAAGCCCCTTCCTTTCTCTTCTCAGTCCGGCCCAACCCCAGGGCTAACATCCTGACATCCACCAAGCTGTTTCTTGCTTCTCACCCTGATGCCAACAGCGACTACAGTAGGGGTGATGGGGGTGTGTCAGGGCGACAGACAGGCCTGTGTTGCATATAAAAACAAGGTGCTGCTCTAAATATCTAAGAATATTGGTCCCCTGATGTGACTCCTGCTCCCCCACCTTCTTTCTGGCCCTCCCTACTGACACCTCGCCTCAGGCCCCTGACAAGCCAAGGGCACGTGGAGACTATTGTTGCCAGGTTGTTGTTGTTGTTAAGTGCCATCGAGTAGGTTCCGACCCATAGTGACCCTGTACAGGGTTTCCGAAGGTGTAAATCTTTACGGGAGTAGAAAGCCTCATCTTTCTCCCGCGGAGCGGCTGGTAGTTTCGAACCGCTGAGCTTAAGGTTCGCAGCCCAATTTGTAACCTCTACGCTACCAGAGCTCCTTATTGTTGCCAGGTTAGGATTCTGAAAAGAAATTCTGTAACTGTCTTTGTTTGTTTGTTTTTTTGCTAGAAATCACCAATACAATCCTTAGTTCAGCAGATATAGCTTTCCAAATAGTTTATAAACATGTAAGACATACAGTTTGATAATGGAGTGGGGAGGGGTGCGCAAGGGAACCTGTGCATCTATATATGTATATAATATATATATATATATATATATATATACATATATGGAGAGAGAGAGAGTGTGTGTGTATATATAAGTGGACATAGTTATAAAACTGCACCTTCTGTGGGAACCTCGTTGCACCTGACGAAGTTCTAAATTTCAGCCTCTGATGATCTTTCCTTTGGTAATTGGTTCTTGGACCCCAGCAGTTGAGCCTGGGGCTACCAGGGTTGCCTGAGACATCAGGAATGAGAAGTGTTACCCCCAAGGAGGGATGGAAGGTGGCATATGGTTGGATTTGGGCAGGTTGGCTGAGTGGCCACCAGCTCACATATGCCCAGATTGCTGGTTGACCAGCCTCTTAGGTGAACCTCGTTCATTTTCCTCTGAGTTCTGCTTCCTCCAGGAATGGCGGGGGCCCTTCAGACCTCCCCAAATGATCTGTGCCCATATCCCATGGGGGATAAATGTCCCATCATAGCAAATTAAAGATTGACTTTGAGTGTCTTTTACTGCCTTGCTGGAGAGGACGCTGTCCATGGTGCTTGATGGTGGCTGGCTGGGACAGCTGGGTGAGGTGTGCTTCTCCCCTCCCACCTGGGGCTGTACACTTTGGGTTTATAGTCCACTGGGCAGGGCCCAGGCAGTGGCCAAAGCCTCTACCAGCCTTTTCCTGGAACCCAGCAGATGCTCCATTTGTCAAAAAAAAGAAGAAAAGAAATTCTGTTCCTTGGTGGACAGGTGGCAGTGCTGGGTGCTAGAGCCCTGGGTCCTCAGCGGAGAGTGACCACCAGCCCTAGTATCCAAGCCAGGAGTGAGGCCCCCAGGGATGTGGCCGAGGAGGCCTGTTGCACCCCACTGGGGGCGCGGATGGGGGTCCTGCGGGCACACTTGCCCTTCCTCTTGGGCCGTGTGGTGGGCATCATGTCAAAGTGGAACTTGTGCTGGTAGTCAAGGCCATAGTCCTGCAACTCATGAGCCTGCTTCCCAGTGCCCGCCTTAGAGATCTGATTCCGATTCCTGTGGCTGGTACAGTTCTTGCCTAGCTTCCTGGTGCCCTTGTCCCTGGCGGGGCTGTGGGCTGGATGATGCTCCTTGCGGGCAGCCCTGTCGGTGGTGGTGAGCGTGTGAGACTTGATCTGGTGTGGGGACGCTGGCCCTGTGCAGTTCCGGAAGTCCTCAGGCCTCAGTAGCTTCAGGTCCTGGCCATGCTGCAGCTCAGGGGACATACAAGGGACAGTGGAGCTGGAGCCGCGGAACCTCCGCAGCCATTCCCACAGGGATCGTGCCCGGCAGCCACAGTCCCAGGGGTTCCCGTTTAGGCGGAGGAACTCCAGGGCCCCCAGGGGTGCCAGGCAGTCCCCCTGCAGCTCAGAGAGGCTGTTGTTGAAGAGAAAGAGGGTGGTCAGCCTGCGGAGGTCATGGAAGGCCCTGTGATGTACCCATTGCAACTGGTTCTCATGTAGCAGCAGGCGGTCCAGGTTCACCAGGCCCCGGAAAGTGCCTTGGCCCAGGCTCCACAGCTTGTTGCCATGGAGGAATAGGTGGCTGAGGTTGACCAGGTCTACAAAGATGTCATCCTGGAGGTACTCGATGTGGTTGTCCTGCAGGTAGAGGTACTGCAGGCTGTGTAGGCCACCAAAGATGCCCGCCGGCAGGGCACTGAGCCCACACTTATAGAGGTAGAGGGCATGAAGTTTCACCAGGCCCTGGAAAGTCTCAGGTGCCAGCATTCGAAGCTGGCGGTTGTCACCAAGGTCCAGCTCCTCTAGATGCACAAAGCCCTCGAAGGTGTTGGGGTCGATGAAGGTGATATTGTTGGAGTAGATCCACAGGGTGACCATGGCCGGACTGAAGTGGCCCTGTTGGAGAAGGGTGATGCGGTTATTCTGCAGGAAGATGCGCTCGCTGTCCTCTGGGATGCCTTCAGGGATGGTAACAAAATTGTGTGCTTGGCAGCTGACTGTCATGGGCGCTGGATAGCACACGCAGTCCCTCGGGCAGCCACCACTCAGGGGCAGCAACCCAGCCAGCAGCAGCAGCAGCAACAGGTCCCCACAGCAACCTGGTGAGGAGAGAGAACACAGCGAGGTCAGAGGCTGCCTGTGGGGAGGCAGAGGTCAGACAGGGTAGGTACTGATGAAGACTGGCACTCCTGGGTCAGCTGGGGCTTTGTCCTTGTATTTGATAGGCTCCAGGGGTGACCTGAGAACAGGCCCATGACTGGAGGAAGGAAAGTGTCCCAGGCCAGGGACTCACAGGACTCCTCACTTGCTGGCACCCACCTCTTTTTAAAAAACTAAATCTATCACTCTCCAGTCCATTCCGACTCATGGCAAGCACATGTGTGTCACAGAAGAACTGCCCCATAGGCTTTTCTTGGTTTAATCTTTATACAAAGGAACCCTGCTAGCACAAATGGTTAAGTATTTAGCTGCTAACTGAAAAGTTGGCAGATCAAAGCCACCCAGAGGCCCTGAAGAAGAAAGACCTGGTGATCTTCTTCTACAAAGATTATAGTCAAGAAAACCCTATAGGTTCAGCATCCAAGTGAGATGAGTAGAATTTGGGGTCTTTAAAGCTTGCAAGCAGCCATCTAAGTTATAATGACTGGTCTCTACTCATCAGGAGCAAAAGACAAAGAAGAAAACCAAAGTATCAGAAAAGAAACTAGTCTACAAGGCTAATAGCCTACACGGGCCATGACTTCATCCACCCTCAGACCCGAAAAACTAGATGGTGCCAGGAAACCTCTGCTGACCATTCTGATGGGGGCCATGCTAGATGGATCCTAATAGAATGGGAGAAAATACAAAGTAGCAGGCTACTGGACCAGTAGAGACTAGAGGACTCACTGAAACTATTGCCCTGGGGTATTATTTAAACCTGGATCTGAAACTATCCTCTGAACTCATCTTTTGCGAAATAACAGATCGGCAGACAAGATAAAGGTTATTACTCTTGGGTACAGTGCTCCTTTAGAAAACCATCAGTATGAGAGCAAAAGGTCAACATTTATTCTAAAACCAAGAGGAGAAGACAAGCAGGCAGGGAAACTAGAGCACGAGAAACAATCAGAACCCATTTAAAGAGGATTTTTTTACACATTGTAAAAAAAAAAAGAAATACGTAACTAACATCACTGAGCACGTTGTGTAGAAATGATCAAATAGGAACCTACTTTGCTATGTAAACTTTGACTGAAAACATAATAAAATATTGTTTTAAACAAACAAACCCTGTGGGGTTTGAATGAGTCAGACTCAGAGTTGATTCGACAGTACCAACAACAATCTATCTGTATGGAAGCAGGTCATCAGGACTTTCTGCAGCACCACTTGTTGTTAAGCGCCATCAAGTTAGCTCTGACTCATAGCAACCCTGTAAGAGATTTCCAAGGACCCGCTGCTGGGTTTGAACCATTGACCTTTCAGTTGGTAGCATTGTCCTACATAGTCACAGGTGGGTTCAAATCGCTACCTTAGGTTAGTGGTGGTGGTGGTGGCTATGCACTGTGGAGTTGGTTTTGACTCATAGTGACCCTGCACAGGGTTTCTGAAGCTGTATATATCTTTATGGGAGCAGAAAGCCTCATCTTTCTTCCTTGCGGTGGCTGGTAGATTCGAACTACTGATCTTGCGGTTAGCAGTTCAGTTTATAATCCACTATGCTACAGAGCTCCTTAACCTCAGGTTAGTTGTTGAGTACAAAGAAGGTATAGGTACAGGTCCTGAGCATACCAGTACCAATTTAGCCTGACCCCCAAACCCTTTTAGCTCTGCCCCACAGCTCCTGAGCTCCGCCCCTTCAGACCTTATCTGTCTGTCCAGGGTGGGTGTCCCAACCCATGACAGCCAGTCAGGCCAGCTCCAATTCACGTCCCAGCTCTGCCACTTACTTGCCATTATCTGTGTTAGCAGACAATGCAGACTCCTGATCTAAAAAAGTCAATATAATATGGAGTCCTTGAGCAGTCTTTTTCTTTAAATTATCGCCAATCAACAAGCAATGCATGCATGACACTGAAGTTCTTTAGAAAGAAGTCTCATTTACAATGTCTCTCACGTCCTCAAATAAGCCACATCCCCTCTGTGCCTTAGTTTCCTCATTTCTAAACTACAGATAGACTATAGTTCTCCCTCACAGAGCTGTACTGAGGATTCAATGAGTGCAAAGGACTAGGGGTGGCCCAAGGGCTACTCCCCTAGTTCAGCCCACCTTCTGCCCCCTGCCCTCTCCCTGCTTGCTCGAGCTCCCAGGTTATAGCTGCAAACTAGGCTTTGCCTTGTAACAGTCCGGAGCATTTCCTCTATAGCTTCCCTCTAATTGGGCATTAATTAGGCATTCGTTAATGGATCCTTAAAATAATTTATTTTCGGATGTGTCCAGCCTGTGGTCGGATAATAGCTCTGCTCTCATTAACAGAGCAGCCTCATTATGGACTATCGTCATTACCTGTCTTTTTCCAGGGTCGCAGCTGCCCCAGGCAGCCCGGCGGGAGCGCCAGTGGCAGGGGCCCTGGCTCCAGGCTTGCAGACCCCCACCCCAGGGGACCAGGCAACCATCTTGTCCCTAACCAGCATGTCCTCTCCCTCCCACTTTCTCTTCAAGCTTGGCCAGCTGGGCCTCTTGGGACGGCCCAGGCGCCTGGGGCAGCTCAGCCAATCCTTCCTGTAGCCAGCTGTGCTCAGAGCATATAGAACCAGAGAAACAAGCCAAGCCTGGGCTCAGTCTTGTGCTGGACACTGGGCCACCTGGCCAGGCTTCCAGGCTTACCACTGTCCCAGCTGCTGGCCCAGGCTCCCGGCTGAGCAGGCTTTGCTACCACTGCTACCCCCTTGTTCCTGGCAAAAACACATCATCGTAAATAAATGACAGCTCCCAGCTGTTGGGAGTTATGGGCTCCCAGAGAGTGGCAGCTGTTTCCTGTCCCCCAGTAATCACCCAGCTTCGACCGAACGTTTGCAACACATAAAAATGATCTCACATAATTTGGTTTTTGCATAATTGGGTTTACTTGTGATTTTCAGAGCAACTATGACCTCGGTAGAAGGAGCTCTGGTAGCGTAGTGGTTATGAATCAGGCTGCGAACCTCAAGGTCAGCAGTTTGAAACTACCAGCTATTTCGCGGGAGAAAGATGAGGCGTTCTGCTCCCGAAAAGATTTACAGCCTCAGAAACCCTGTACAGGGTCGCTATGGGTCAGAATTGACTTGACAGCACTTAACAACAACAACAACATGACCTCGGTGGAGGTAGAGGTGGTGGTGTAGCTTCAAGAACCCTGGGCAGATTACAGGCCAGGCCTGAGGTGGATGCCTCTCTCAGCCTCAGTTTCCCCTCTGTTATAGGAATCAAAGATGATGCCTATGCTAGCCCTCCCAGGGCGATAGCTCAGGCCTGTCCTCCAACCTCTCCCTGCCCACTTCAATCATACCAGCAGAAGTGGGGGAAGGAGTGGGAGTGAGTAAAAACCTGAGCTCCAAACTCAGCTGACTGACCGGAAACCTGCCCACTGCCTTCAGCCTCCTGAGCAGCCTTTCTCCCAGTCCACACTGGTTACACCCTCCACATAGCTCACACAGTCCTTATCCCTCACCTCTGCCCATGCTACTATCTTCCGGGAAGGTCACACCTGCAGCATCCTTCTCCAGGGAGGTGCTTCCACTCTGTCACTCTGAGGGAGTCCAGGGGGGTCACACAGCTCAAGGTGTCCCCTGTGCACACAGTCTGAGCTCATGGGGCACACAGTGGATACCACACCAGGCCCCCTACCCACCCCTGGGGATCCTGCAAGAACAAAGGCCTTTCTTTCCCTAGAGTCTGGCAGCAGGAGAGATACTCATGAGAGGTGGAGGGTGGGTGAGCCATGGCAAGCTCAGCGTTAATGCCACCTGACATTTGTACAGCTTATTGGCGTTTACAAAGTGCTTTTCCACTCGATCCTCTGATCCTCAGAGTCGCCCTGTGTGTATATGGCGGGGGGGTGACCCAGGGTGGGGGGACAGAGCTTTCTCTGCCTCCTGTATGGCTCTGTCTCCATAAGGCCCAGAGATGGAGTTGTCTGAAAGAGTCCCCAGAGGAGCAAAGGGATCCACAAGGAGCCACACACCCTCAGACAGAAAGTAGATGTCCCTGGGGTATAGAGTACACGGGACACTAGGTGAAACATCTGGTTTAGGTGGACAGGCCAGTCTGCCCCCACAAAGCAGGTGTGGGCTTGGTAACAACATGCAAATGGCCTTAGGCAAGTGACAGGGGTCAGACAGGGTGACAACAGAAGGGTGTTGACGGAGGTAGGGACCCCTGCCAACATTTGGCACAGAATCTGGACTATATTCCCAGTTACTCCAAGAAACAGCGTGTAGTTAAGTCAGGGTCTGGGGGCATGAGGGAAGCAACAAGACCAGAGAACATGGCAGTGGGCAGTCACTTCCACGACCTGTGGAAGGGAGGCTGATGGGGTTGAGACCGAGGGAAGCCATCCTGCCCAGATGATGCCAGGGTACCCATGCCAGAGAAGCTACCCTCTAAGTTACCTCTGCTGTCCTACTGGATAGTGAATTGGGTCTTGGCTGAGCCTGGCCTAGAAAAAATCCACACCAGCTATCTTTCAGTGAACCCCAACTCATGGTGACCTCATGTGTGTCAGAGTAGAACTGTGTTCCATAGGCTTTTCATTGGCTGAGTTTTCAGAAGTAGATCGCTAAGCTTGCCAAGGCATCTCGAACCTCCAACCTTTTGGTTATTAGCATGCTATTTGCATCACTCAAGGACCATTCCACCCTAGAAGCTGGTCTCATCTCCAAGGCCTTAGACCAGGTGTCCCAACCAACCCCACCCATCTCTGGCACCCCTAATCCAAGCCAGCAGGTACCTGGCACTGGGTCTCTACCTTGCCAGGTTTCTTCCCAGGGAGGCTGGCACTGCATCTCTGGGTTCCTCCTGCCTGCCTCCCCGGCTCTGCAGTGTGGCTGTGGGAGCCCCTACCCGCTGATTGCCTGATTAATGCACTAACGATGTGGCGGGTGTCTTTGCTGTGCATTTTAAGATGGCAAATTCGTA